TGCTTGAGTAGCGTTAGCTTTATTTTGAGTCTAGATTGTTCTCAAAAGCTCACGTAACAAAAGATTGAACCATGCTGTGGTGCTATTGGCAGGTGCTACCACCTTTAGGAGACTTGCTGCAAGGAAGTCAGGTATCTTCAGTGGGACCTTGAAGGGAACAGTAGGACCCTCATCACTTCCTGACTCTTTGCTTGCCAGCTTTTTCTGCCATTATGGTCCTGTCATGCTGTGCTGCCTCATCACAGGTCTGCAAACAGTGGAGGTAACTGGCTTAAATCACTAAAAGTACAAGTCCAAATAAACCCTACTCTTTTTAAGCTTATTATCTTGAATATTTTGTCATTGTGATAAAAAGCTGACAGAAAAAAACGAAAACAAAACAAATTAAAAAAAACAACAGCACTATTTTACAGTCTCAGAGAAAAGGAATTCCAAATTCATATGAGCATAGTGAGTGTGGCTGTTTTTCCTGGTGATGATGGTGATGAAAGGTTATTTTTTGAAATGACTGTAGATCAGTGAAGGGAGAAGGGAACGTTGCCCATGAGATCAGTGGTGCTTCTTGACCTTGAAAACAAAAGTGGAGGATGAATTTTGGAGTATCTCACTGTCCTTCTTATTGGTATTTTCAGATCTATACTTACTTGCTGAGAACACTAGGGGGTCAGGCAAAGAATGACTCTATTTTCAAAGGAACCCAGATCAGTTGTCACAGCCTTCCTCCCAAAGTTTAAGATCTAAATTTGTAAAAAAGTGTGCTATTCAAAATGTATGTCAAAGTTTTCCCTAATTATAGCATATGATGAAAACAATTATTTGAGGGAAGACAATTTTAGTTGTAATTTTTGGAATATATTAATTACACATAAGAGGTTTCCTTGTGACATTTTTATACATGTACATAAAGTATTTGACTCTATTTACCCCTCATTGTCCCAGTCTGACTCTTGCTGATCGTCTCATCCCAACCATTTCTCCTTTTACTTTCAAGCATCTAATTCCTAGTTCTCCTCCTCCTCCTCTTTGCGATCAATGAGTTAAACTAGGGTTGTTTACATGAGCATATGGTAAGGATTATTTATAGGGACAGGGGCTCTTGGCCTTGGCTACATTACTAAAGAAAAATGTCTCTCCCTTAGCAATTATTAACTGTCTATAGATCCTCATGAAGCCCTCCACCGTCTTGGAAAGAATGTGCCTGGGCTCAGTCTTGTGCATGTATTGTGCAGGGAACCCCAGTTGCTGAGTTCGTGAATGTCGCGGCTGTGTTAAAACAGCATTCTACTACACTTCTCTCCTTCCAGTCCTTATATCCTCTCTCACACCGATCTAGATGTTTCCTGAACCTTATTGGGGGTAACATCGGTGCCTCACGGCGGAACGCTCAACAGACATGCTCAGCACAGTGACCAGATGAACCTCTATGCTGACCGCTGCCCACCACCAAAAGAGGCTTCTCTGACCAAGGCCGAGATGGGCACTCATTCATGGGTATAAGTCTAAACGTTTAAGAGGCAATCTGATTTAGTAAAACAACAATTGCATTTTTTTTTTCTTGGAGCTTTTGCTCTCCGTCATCTCCCAGCCCAGAGCTTTTGGCAGCTTTACAGTACCAAGCATGATTTCTCTCCTGTGGAGCAGGCCTCCACTTCAATCAGAGACCGTGTGGTCACCCCAGTAACAAACTTGCCACTATCACACCAGCTGGCACATTTTATCTGGTAGATTAGTGTAATACGCGGGGTTTATAACCAATGACTTTTTTCCCAGCAGCTCCCCTAGCACTTTGATAAGTTTAACTATTAATTTTATAATCAAATGAATCACTAGCCATCTTAATTTCCTTTAATTAAGTAGGTCCTGTACTTTTCTTATGTCAGTTGCCGAATCTCTTCTCCTTTTCAACTTATCCAATGATAAAATTACAAGTACAAAAAGAAGAGCAGCTATAATTTCTATAATCTCAGAAGACCCTTGAAGAACCAATTGAAGGGTCATAACAATGCTACAAAACAATTTTATTTCACAATTTGTTTTAATATTTAGGTTGTAAGTAATTTAGTTACCTAGTTATTTAACTAGTTGTTAGTTAGCTAATTAGAGTAAGTTAGGCTTATTTACGTATTCCAGCCAGTCAAACTCTGAGGCATTTGAGCAATACGGGAAGTTTTTCCCAGTTTCTTTTTTAGCAAAGGTGAATGAAAACATTACCAGTAAAACTAGCTAATCTAAAACTAAAATGAAGAAAGGATACGAAAGAGTGTTATACTTCTGGGATCTCTCAAGAGCAAAGAGGATAATACAGGTCAAATTCAAGTGAGAAGATAAATGTATGTCTTTCTTTATATTAAAGTACTCCTTAATCTAGGCTTCTTACCCTTTCTACCATGGCCCCTTTTTACTAAAGAAATTTTTGCATGGCCCATGGATATAGGTGCATAAAATAGGTATACATGCCAAACATTTATTGTTAATAAATCATAAATTTAATTTATGCAAAATGTTGTTGGGTCTGGAAATGTTGATGGTTCAGTGGTAAAGAGCATCCCTTGCTCTTCTTCCATAGGGTAAGTAGACTCACAACTGCTTGTAACTCCAGCTTCCAACGATCTGTCACCCTCTTCTGGCCCTCACAGGTACCGGTGCACACACACAGTACATATATGCACACACAGCACATACATATACATACGCAAATATAAATTAACAAAGCCCTGAAACTGCAGGTCTCAGCATGCAGTAGTCTTGGCTTTGAGCCAAGGTCTAGCAGTGTTGGTGTTGAGTAGGTTGAAGGCATGCACAAAGCCCAGTGTGACATTTGTGTTCAGAACCGGGGCTGCAGGTCACCCAGTAAGATATGAGTAAGCATGGCCAGAAACACCCCGGGTTCACTATACAGTTCATTTTCAATTAACTTTTGCTTCTTACATAGTCAGAAATCTTTTACTCTTGGCAAGTTTTTCACAGTCCATACATTGTTATACATCATATGGGATTGTGGCACAGATGGACCTCAGCATACACTCTTAGAGCTGCACACAATGAATAGTGTGTAAGGAACAGGGGCAGCAGAAACAGAAGGGTTAACAGCAACAGGACTTTAGAACTTGTGGATAAAGGCATCAAATAGCATTAAATTTCAAGTTTGAATTCAGCTTTTGAACTATTCATTATGGATTGTGAGTTCATAATGAGACAGTTCTATGCTGTACTGGGTCTCACTTAAGGATGAGGACACTGCTGAGTCATGCTCAAACTCAACAGTAACTATCACTTTCTCCTTTTCCTGTCCACTGTTTTTAGACTTCACCTGTTGCAGTTGAGACCTTGAAGGTGTACAGTCTATGAACTTGCTCTGCTTTTAATATTATATACAGGTTCTAAAACATATCTTAGGTTTAATATAGTTCTTGTTTTGTTTAAGGTGAGGTCTTGATGGGTAGCCCAGAGTGATGTCAAATTCACTACGTCAACAACTCTAGCAGTGATCCTCCTGCCTCAGCCTACTGAATTCTAGGATCAATAGTGGCATGTACCACTATTCCTGCCTTAGACTTAATATCTTTAAAGGGCATCTGACCTTTCCACTAAGATGTTTTGATACGAATCTTTAGGTGGACCCTAGATTTAGAATTAAATGAGAACACAGCCACCCTCCTATATCTGAAGAGACCCCATCTACTGATTTGAACCATCACAGATTGCGGAGGAGTGCATGCATGTACATTTTTCCTTTGTCATTTCCAAAATAATGCAATATAACAATTATTTGTGTAGTGTTTACCTTATATTCGGTATTAAAAGTAATCCAGAAATAATTTTAAAAATGCAGGAAATGTATGTAGATTGTATTAAAATGTTGCGCCATTTGAGAAAAGGAATTTGAGCATCAGGAGGAGCTATGTGCCTTAACATCTTTTACCACATTACCGGTCTTCGAGCACTGGCTCCATCAACACTATAAAAATTCCTTTCTGTAACAGAACCCCGAATTACACTCTGCCCCGTCTCCTAATTTCTTGCTATTTTCCTCGTCGTGTCACGAAGAACGTTTGTTGCAAAAGAGCGCTCAAAATGACCAGCCCAGTGTGCAGACCTCACTCCGACAACAAAGATTTAGCAGAAAGTTACTTCCCGGGCCGTCAGAGCTGCGCCTGCGCGGGCGGCCTCCCTCTAGGACTTACCCAGAAGGCCGCGCTCCACTCAAACCGGAACGGCGGGGAAGCCGCTGGTAGGTGGCCGGGTCCTCCTTGGTGGACATCCCGGGGCGCTTTTATTTTCCTGGCGGCTTGTTCCCCTTCTGCTCTAGCTGAGTCTTTGAGCTCCAGGCTCGTGGCGGCCCAGTCCGGCACAAGGGGCGGGTTTCGCTGTGCTAGGCCCGGCCAGCCGGGGGTGGGAATGGGGACCTTGGCCAGCTCCGTGGCTGGACAGCGGGTGCGGCCTGCGCTCCCCTGGGCCAGGGCCGCTCGGGGAGGTGAGGGCAGGGGTGAGCGGATGTCTGCCGCAGGGACCCGAGGGAGCACTTGGAGGCCGACGCCGTCCCCTGCGTTAGCTACCGCTGGCGTTTCTCTTTGTCGCTGGTGCCCGCGGTCGGGGCAGTAGGCACGTGAGCCCCCCTCCGCCCCTCGAGCTTCTGTCAGAATTAGAGGTTTACAGTGAGGTTGCCGGTTAACCTTGGTGCGCGTGGCACGTGAGCTGGAGCTGCAGGGCCGGCGGGATTTTTGTTTATTGGAGGCCCTAGAGCACGGGTTAAAAGCTGAGTGTTCAAAACAATTCGCTCCCAAGTTCCACACCCCCTGTTTTCAAAAGCGAATCTGTGCCCTCTGGCGGGGTAAATTGGAATAGCTCTTAAAAGCAGTATCTTTCTCAGAGTGAAGTCATTAATTTCACCCACTTGACCAAATTTTTAAGGACCCTCACTAAATATAAGGCCTTCTACTTCGGTGTTTATGTTTGGTCTTAGAGACCTGATTTTAACAGAGTTCGGACTGGCTCTCTTTTAGTAGCCTGCTTCCTTTTCAGCAGTATAGGCCTTTAATCCAGCTAATGCGAAAGGAGTGAACTGAATAGTGCCCAGCACCTTGCACGTGGTAAGTGAATATTAATCTTATCATAATCACTTCCAACTGCAGTTTATCTCCTACATGTTAGTTTCTAGCCCACCTCCCCCCTTTCATATTTGTATTTCTATTTTTTTGAGTCAGGGTCTCATGTAGCCCACATATGTGTGTGTGTGTGTATGCACACACATATATTTTTACTCACTGTGTATTCAAGGACGACCTTGAATGTCTGATCCTTTTGCCTCCACACTCAGAATGCTGGAACTGCAGGTGTGAACCACACCACTGCCATTTTATGTAATGCCGGAGATGGACCGCAGGCCTTTGTGTATGCTGGGCAGGCACTGTACCAGATGAGCTCCAGCGTTAAGCCCTGTCCTGTTTTAAATTTTCCTACGAAACAGTTTTATTCATGGCAGTTTTCTAAGGTTGGGGGAAGACATGTAATCTGTGCTGAGGAATAGGAAGTCAGAGGGAGCTAACTGAGAAGAGAGTTCGTCTCAGAAAGAAAAAGAAAAAAAAAAAACCTAAAATGAAAGAAAGAAAAAGAAGCCTGCAATCCTAGTAGTCCATGCTTTTAGTCCTAGTGCTGGAGAGCTGGAGGTGGATCCCCTGGGCACTGGCCAGTGAGCCTAGCATGTTTTGAAAGTTCCAGGCCAGGGAGAGATGCCAATTCAAAGAGAATTAAAGAGAGACCAGAAATGGGGAAAAAAACCCATAAACAAACAAAAAAAGAAAAACAAAAGGACCTAATGTTCCCTGGCAACCACACTTCTGATTCCCAATTTTAAAAAGATTGAGTGTAAAAGGAACTTTTATTTGCCTATTTCAGTCGTCTCAGAGGCTCACTGCCTCTTGCTGACCCTAGGCCAAGTCCTGGAAACTTCTAGCCTCCATACAACATAAGCTAGGCCTAGAATGTTTTAAACTTTTGAGACTTAGTGCTTAGTATGTTCACCCTTTCTTACTCCTTCTGAGCTCATAGCTGGCTGGTTCAACTCAGCTACTCTGGGTCAAACTCCTCTCCCGACTAATTTATTCAATCTGGATTTTCTCTTGGCCTCTGAATTGCTCTGCTTGGCCTCGCTAACTCCAGCAATCTTTTCTAATCTTCTGGCTCCTTCTCATTTTCTGGCTTGCTCTGTCTTCACCTGTGTTTAGCTTGTTCTCCCGTTCAACCTCTTTTCTGTATAACTCTCCTAGTAAAACTGCCTCTTGCTCTGCATTGTCCCTTAAGTAGCTACCCTTTCCTTTCTTCATGAGAGTTGGGCATATCCTATTCTATCAAATCTTTCTCTGATTCATCACTTTTTCTGCCATTCAATTAAACATCATTGTCAAACTAACTTTACCTTCATTGTTTGGGATTAAAATAGTGTACCACCATGCCTGGACCTAAGCTTTTCTTTACTTGAAACTTGCTCTCTACCGGGCTGGCCTTGAACTCAGAGCTGCTTGCTCTGTCTATTGGATTAAAGGCCTGTTTGTATTCCAGCAGGATCACACAGACCTAAAAGGTCTTTGGATATTATCTCTTGAAAGAGCAGACATGTTAAAATTCTTCTATAATTGAGCTTGCTCTTTCTTACCTGTGCCATACTTGTTCTGCACACATCAGGTACTGTCCTTGGCCTCCTGTAGGTTACCTTTCTCCGACTCAACCTTGTTCCCCCAAAGATTTGTGAGGTGTTTTTTGTTTGTTTGTTTTTTGTTTTTGCATAGGGTATTTTGCATGCTTGGCATGAACTTTAAGGCTGAGCTATATTCCCAGCCTCTATTTTAAGTTTACTGCTAGTATTATTAATACTTGTTTGTTCGTTTAGATAAGGCCTGGAATTCAGACTCACTGCATCAGCTTCCTGAGTGCTGAGATTACAGGCATGCTCTATTACATTAAGAGTCTTTTAAAATTAATCCAAGTAGCCAAACTTTTATTTAGTTATTATGGTATATGGTTACATTAGAATATAACATGCCATCATGGGTAGTCTTTCTTTTTTTAACTTCTTTTGAGCTTTGTGAATTTTGCATCGAGCATCCCAATCCCACTCGAAGTCCCTCTCCCAAAAGAAAATAGATAAACAAAATATCTTGCTGTGGAAGCTGCAGTGTGTTATACCGTATACCATTTTGCCCGAACAGCTTTTCTTGCTGTTCATTGCAGTGAGTCATTGATCTAGTTCAAGCCTCAGGTTTCTGCTATACTATCAATACTGGATCCTCACTGGGAATCTTTTCAGATGTCCTGTTGTTGCCCTGTGTCTGGAGAGCCTGCAGCTTTGGATCTGCAGCACCCCCCCCCCCTTCACTCTAGCAGTTCATAGGTGAGGTAACTGTTAGGGTGGGCCCATTCTGGACCTGGGTGGTAGCTGAGTTATTCATCCTGCCAGCCTTCCTGCGTTGCCAAGGTGAAAGGTGGGGCCAGTTCTCCTGCCTGAGGCTGCTGCCAAGAACACTCATGCTGCCAGGACCAGCTCTCCCACACTGCCCAGGTGTCAAGGGGCAGGTGGGGTGCATTTGTTTTTAACATGGAGTATTTCTTCTTGTCTATGTTCAAATACTATTCCTTTGATGAATACTTAGCTGTTTGGGAGGAAGAAATGGGCTTCTATTAATATTTAAATGATTTACTGATGGTATAAAACTTTTCCCAGAAATAAGTATATTTTAAGAATGACGGTCTGGGATGGAGAGATGGCTCAGGGGTTAAGAGCGCTGTCTGCTCTTCCAGAGGTCCTGAGTTCAATTCCCAGCAACCACATGGTGGCTCACAACCATTTATACCCTCTACTGCCCTCTTCTGGAGTGCAGGTGCACATGGAGATAGAGCACTGGTATGCATAAAATAAATACATAAAAAAAATCTAAAAAAAAAAAAAAGAATGATGGTCAAGTAAGATTATGTAGACTAAAAGTTTTGGAGAAGAGGTGAAGGCTGCCGCCTAATCTGAACTCTCATAGCTCCACCCACTTTGAAAAGAAAAAACAACAACAACAACAACAACAAAAACCACAATTCTGCAACTACAAACTATAGAAATGCCCCAAGCCTCCTTCCTATCCTATCTCCTGTCATTTCAACTCTGATGGTAGCATGTGATGTCAGGGCTGAGGGCATTAGACTTTGAGAACCTGATGTAGTAGGAAGTATACTTGGGCATATTAGGCACTTTTAGTTCGGAGCTCATCGTTTTCATAGGTATAATGATTTACCTACATGGCATACAGAGAAATCGTCCTCCCTGGCTTATCGCTGCATTGCAGCATAAGTGCAGCATAAGTGGATTGCAGCAACTGACAGAGTGCTGATTACAGCTGCAGCATCAGGCAAGTGGCTGGGTGGTTTCTGAAAAGGCCATTATAATGCTGCAGGATTCAGTAAACAGGGAACCGGATGAGTGTCTGTGTTTTCTATCTTCTTGCTCTTCCTGAGCGCAGTACTTATTAAAAAATCCGTATAGTTCCAAAAAGATGCCTTATTTTGTTTTTGTGTGTATGAGACTTAAAATTAAATGATTTTATTGTTAACTTTGTATTCCTTTGAGAAGAGGCTGAAGTCTTAAATGTTTGCTCTCACATCATTATGTGATGCATAACCTTTCTTAGAGCTTTCTAGTTGCCACAAGCCTCACTCTGTGGTCTAGAAGCTGGATAGAAGCATCAGGAAATCTTAGTTAGGGCTCCTCAGTATAACTTTAGTGCTTTTGAACAATTTTTATTATTTGCATCTATACCAGGGTCTGCTTGCGGAGGTTTGGGGGGGGGGGCTTCTGGAGTTGTCCTTCCTCCATGGGGGCCAGGGGTCAAACCTAGGTCATTAGACTTACATAGCAAGTGCCACGTGCCTGGCCATCTCAGTGGTCCTGCCATTTCATATCTTGATCTCGGGTTAGCAGAAGAGGTGTGGTCTACTAATGTTTTCAAGGACAAGATGCGCATTTGAAATACTTTCTGAACTGGTTCATATGAAATGGGGATTTTGGCCTCAAGAAGTAACTGGAGTATGAAATGCTTTTGGTTTCTATTTTACCTAATTATTTGAACTCTTGGTTCTTATTTAGTCAAGTCTTGGGTTATAAGTCATAAAGATATTTTGCTCATTAGAAAAGAAAAATCTGCATGGAGGAGGTGGCTCAGTGAGCACACAAACCTGATGATCTTCGGAGCCCATAGAAAAGCTGACAGTCGCGCAAGCATGTATGTAGAGGTCGTGTGCACGTACACACACACATATACACATGAAGTGCTCATATCTGGTATGGTGAGTTATACCTGTAATTTTAGCATCTAGGAGCAGAAGCCAGAGGGTGGTCATTCGAGTCAATTGTGAGTCTAAAGGCTAGTGAGGAGAAATGAATGAATTTCTGAATTTAAGGCCAACCTGGGCTACATAGTGAGTTCAAGGCTAGCCAGGGATGCACAGTGAGACCCTGTCTCAAAACAAAAACAAAAGCATTGTTTTTTGAGATAGCTCTTTAATCTGATTCTTCTGTTTCTGTCACAGGGCTGTTCGCTGATAGAGCATTCGATGCTAAGATGTGAGAGAAACCATCAGAAGGCCTCCTGAGGACCTTATAACAACAGTGTTTCACCTCAAGAGGCATTGGGTCATGCCTAAGGAGCAGTGGACAAATATGAGGAGGTAGAACGGGTTTGCTGTGTCTAGCAGTGTTGGTCACTTAGGGGGCAGTACCAGAAATGGAAACATGGTTGTGTTCTCCAAGTGTTCTCCAAGTCATGCCCCATGAATAGCATTTCAGCAGCCAAGTGAGGTTAGCAGAAAACTCAGCTCTAAAAGAACAACGTGGTAAGACTTGCGGTGACTAAGCTAGTCTCTAGCATGGAAGGCCCGGTTTAGAATCCAGGTTTTCTGCCTCGTGGGCCACTGTGTTTTCCCTGAACTCTGGTTCCTGCTTTCTGAAGAGTTTTAGTTCTATGAAGTCCACTGAGTGATCTGCTAGCTCGTGGGAGGGTTGGACTTCTGTCCTCATGCCTCATCGACACCAGGCAAGTCTGGAGACTCAGTTTCTCCCCGGTGCTCTTCCTGACCTACACTGATTTTTGTGAGGTTTTACGTTTAAAAAGCACATAGTTCTAGAAGTTAAGTTACAAGCAAAAAGTAATCCATTATATTGAGTTTGATTTGTGGTTTATGACGTGTTACTTTCTTCTTCATTCTTTAGGACAAATTCAACCTTGAATTCTATCAGAAAGAGCTTACTTGAAAAACGAAAGAGAGAGAAGGGTAGGTGAAAGCAGTCTGTAGTTGAGATCTGGATGTGCTTGGTCTCAGCATATTTTTATGACATTGATTCAACCCGACCCACAAAACAAAAATGATTTGCTTTGCCAATGCCTCACTTTTAATAAATGCCAATTGTAACTGTTGTCGGGATGTTTGAATTCAGACTCTTACTCTGATAATTACTGACTTCACTTTTCCAACCATGTTTTCCAGACTTTCTAAGATATTTCTAGTTGCTGTTTAACTGCTGGGGGATGGGGGTTATCTCTTCATTGACTAGGTAAACAGCCGGCATTTCATACAAACTGAGTGGTCAACTTTGACTCCCTTTGTAGGTTTGAGACACTGGGAAGTCATAGCAAGGCCTAAATTACAGGTGCGAGAGGGGGAAGCAGCAACCAGCTCTGAAGAGATGGGCCATCAGCTTCCAGAGTGACTGATGAGAAGAAGGAAAAGTTTACCCTGGTTTCTCAGGACTTGAGACACTGCTCTCTACCTAGATTTATTTTGCATCCAGCCATTTAGAAAGGAATGATGTCTGTATCCCAGTCTGGGCTTATATAACTTTTCTGTGTATGTGTAGGTACGTGTGCCCTGTGTTAATCAGTATGTAGGTTAGAAAATTGAAAAATAAAGCACTAGGAAAACAAGAGGGAAAAGCCAGAAGACAAATTACAGTTTCTTTCAAATACTGGTTTGAGAAGTAGGTATTGAGTTGGGCATAGTGCATATACAGTTAATCACAGCACTCAGGACATAGGCAGACCTGGTCTACAGAGTGATTCTAGGACAACCAGTGCTACATAGAGCCTGTCTCAAAACCACCAAAACCCTGGGTGCTAGTCAGCAAAGAGTTTTCAGATTATAGGCTAATATAAAAGTACCAATTAGTCACTCCTGCTGTGAGTTTTCCGGTTCTTTGGGAGTGAGTGCTGTAACCGCAATGGGCAGCGTAGGAGGAGGAGTGCCCTCTCAAGAGCGTTCGAAGGTGACCTGCAGACAACACTGTTGCTATTACATTTAAAATCACAAAATGTTGGTGGCACATGCCTTTAATCCCAGCACTCAAGAGGCAGAGGCGGGTGGATCTCTGAGTTCGAGGCCAGCCTGCTCTACAGAGTGAGTCCATCACAGCTCTATTACACAGAGAAACCTTGAAAAACCAAAAGAAGAAACAAAAAAAGTTCATAAAATGATCAAAATGCACAGGCACATATATACATTTCTTACACACAAAAATGATTAAAAAAGACACTTAGGTTGGTCTTTACCACAGGAGCCCAGCGTGTTTTAGACGTGGTGGCAAACTCAGCACTTGGGAGACAGATGGCTGGCCTTAGAGTTTGAGCTTAGCCTGGGGTGTAGAGTGTTAAAAATATGTAATATCTTGAAAGATTGGAAAATACTAGAAAGCTACTTTATTTAATTTCCATAAAAACTTTCCTCACACCCTCTTCTATTTGGAAATCCATCTTGAAACTTACTCTGGTCAATTCTCCAGTGAGTTAGAGCCTTCCTAAAAATGGTTTTGCTTGTAAAAGTAATTCCTTAACATCATGAACATATGAACATGTAAGCTCTTAAAGAAAAACTAAGGAGACGACTTAAAGAGATGAGTTGTTTTTATAACTTAAAAAAAAATTATTTTTATTTCGTGTGCATTGGTGTTTTGTCTGCATGTTTGTCTGTGTGAGGGTGTTGGATCCCGTGGAACCTGAGTTACAAACAGCGCTCAGCTGCCCTGTGGATGCTAGGAATTGAACCTGTGTCCTCTGGAAGAGCAGCCAGTGCTCTTAGCCAGTAAGCCGTCTCCCCAGGAACAGGAGATACTGGATTTGAAAATGTGGGATAACAATGGGCAACCTCTCATTTTGGGGATACTCCCTGCCCAAGCCAAACTGCCAGCTACATCACTTAGATACTGAGTTCTAAATGAGCAAATACACACAAGTTTCTTGAAAACCTTAGAATGTACTTATGGCTGCATTTGGGTTTTTCTGTTTTGGGTTTTGTTTTTGTTTTGACACAGGACCTTCCTATGTTGCTCTGGCTAGCCTGCAGCTCACCGTGTGGACGAGGTTGGTTCACGGAGCTGAGATTAAGCACCACCACAGTCGGCTCAATGTTTTCATTGAGTTATTCAGTGAGTTATTCTGTTTATTGAAGAATAAGCAGGACCAGGATTTACATCACTAGGAGGCCAGAGGAATGGAAAGAGCTTGTGAGCAGACCAGTGCAACCCTGTCATTGACAGAGGACAGCCTTTTTGTTAGCAAGAACTGTCCTGTCAGGGCTGGAGAGGTGGCCCCAAGGTTAAGAACACTGTCTCTCATGTATTCTTTCAAATGTCCTGAGTTATTCCTAGCAACCACATGGTGGCTCACAACCATCTATAGTGAGATCTGGTGCACAGGCATACATGCAGGCAGAATGCTGTATAAACAATAAATAAATCTAAAAACAAAAACAAACCAAAAAAGCTGTCCTGTCTGCAAGTCACCGGGAAATCTGAAACAGCTGAAAGCAAGTCATTCCGAGCTGATTCTGGGTTGGACTGCACAAGCCTCAATCCCTTTACTTCCTCCTTAACCTTAGGAAGACCAACCTCTGTGCATCCAACTGCTCACCCGCAAGATAAAGGTAATGATAGAATAAGTTTTACAGTGTCGTAAAAATGTACTCACTGTATTACATGGCAAGACCTTACAGCACAGAATTATTTGGGGAAACTCCAAGTGCCATCAAAACAAATTGAAGCCTGATAACCAAGGCCCGATGGTCTCTCTTCTTTCTCTTAGGGTCACTCACTCCAGTTCCATCATTCCCTTTGAATGTCTGTCCTTGAAGGAAGTTACTGTCACCTAAGTTGGAAAGAGGAGGAAGTGCTCATCTACAGTGGCTTTAATGAGGGTGGAACCCAGCTGCTTCCAGATTTTACTTTTTACGCTGACAGTGTTCTGCTTCAAACATGTCACATCCTGCTAGTTTGCTTTGCACCATTTAAAATGTATTTATTCATTTAAAGTCTGACATTGATCTTGGCTTGAAATATATGCCCTTTCTAAATCTTGAAGAAAGACATTTGTTACTGTGAAGAGGTCTATGTTCTGATTATTATTATTATTATTATTATTATTATTATTATTATTACTATTATTATTATTTTAACTAATCTCTGAAAATCCATCTAAAACAGAGTTGGCTTAGGTGCCCTTCTGTATCAATCACCCTTCCTGTTGCCAAAGTGTGGAAAGTAGAGTAAGGCTGGCTGGGTCCATGGACCTCAAATGCTCATGCTGGCTTTATTCCATACTACATACAAATACTTAACATGTCACCATATGTTCAAGGAAAAAAAAAATCTTTACTAACAATACTGATGTTACTCTTAAGTCCTAAAATCTGAAAATCTAAAGTGTAGAATGTAATGACTTCATGTACCTATGCAAGGACTCCCTGTAAGGTATTTGCTCTGCATTAATTCTAATCTGCTAACAGACTCAAAAGTAGAATAAAAACTAATCCAAAATCCTATAGTCATACAATTCTTCCAAAGTGACAACCAGGTAGTGTTTGTTTGTTTATTTTTTAAGCAGAAGTATATTGAAAGTTAAGTGAACATACCAGCACTCAGGAAGGCAGAGGCAGACATATGTCTGTGAGTTCGAGGCCAGCCTGATCTATGAAGCCAGTCCACGACAGTCAAAGCTACACAGAGAAACCTTGTCTTAAAAAAACAAAACAACAACAACAAAAGGTTAAGTGAACATAGAATTCACACCCGGACCCTTGATGTCCTGATGAATGAAGAGTGGAGCAGTTTGCACTGTGCCTGAGATGCTGCTTCGAGCCCAGCCTCCGTGGTGAGCACGGCAAGATGGGCTCATGCAGCCCTACCCCAATCATACAGCTCTTTCCGTTAGGAAGCAAGAATCCAGGGGGAAGTGATCCAAAACCAGGCCATACAGTCTATGTTAGAAACACAGCGCCCTTCCACCCTCCATGCGCCCCATGAAGAGACGAAGCTTCTCATCGGCCCCTTGTGTGCAGGGGTCCTAGGTCCAGACCATGCTTATTCCATACTTGATGTCTCAGGCTCTGAAAGTCCCCATGAGTCTGGGTCAGTTGTCTTTGTTGGTGTTCTTGTGAGGTTCCTGTCCCCTCCAGGTCCTTCCATCTTTCCCCCAACACTTCCACGGGACCCCCAGAGCTCCGCCCCATGCTTGGCTGCAAATCCCAGCGTCTGTACCCACTGCTGCCAGGAGCCTCTCAGATGATGGTCAAGTTAGGCTCCTGGCTGACTCAAATTCTGCCACTAGGCGGCACTGCGCTACAACTTTGCAACTCGAGGGCGCACTGCCCTGGGGAAGATTTACCCATTTTGTACCCTCACCAACTCCCTCTCCTTCATTTTTCAGGATGACAACACCTTGCAGGGTTATGGCCATCAGGAGAATTTACTGCTAAGCTATATACTGATGTAATGAAATCTAATATCTGCTGTGCCGTGAATTATGAGATGTTATTTAGTTTGGGGATTTTATTACTTCAATCACTTATGACCATATTTCCTTTTATATGATTGCTCACTCTTTAAACATACCAGATGACTATACATGGAACACCTAATAAAGTCCATACATGTTAAAACATTGTTAAAATATAAATGTTTTCATTTATTTGCCATAATTTGTTTAAATTTTGGTTATATGGGTGTTGGTACTAAAAACAAAACAAAACAAAACATAGCATGGGGCCAGCAAGATGGCTTAGTAGGTAAAGGGACTTGCCACCAAGATTGACAACTTGAATTTAATCTCAAGAACTCACATGGTGGAAGAACTGAACTCACAAGTTTTCTTCTGACCTCCAGGTACACACACACACACACACACACACACACAAACAAACATAGAAATACTGGTCTTTAAAAAGCCACAGCATGTTAGAATCTAAGGCCTTAAATCTGATGCTGCTGCTAAGTTAAATCTGGCTAAGATATTTGCCTGTCTGTGTTGGTAATTGAGCAAAAAGTGCTGAATCATTCCTAGGAAGTTACATTTTAGCACATACGCCAGAAACTCTGTGGATATTTAAGTGTTTTATGACAAACTATTTAAATAATTCTGAATTCTGACTAGATCACCTACAGTAGAAAGAATGTATTATTTGTTTAACTTTGTATTTAATACAATTGCCGTTTGTGCATAAATGCCAGAAATGTAATTTTAAAATAAACCCTGTGAAACTTCTGGTAACATTACTCAATTGAATTAATGCTCTGTTAGTATTCTATTTTTTTTTTTTTTTATTTTGACATACCTACCAATTGTACTTATAACCCAAACCAAAAGGGGCAGTCATTTCTTTTTGAAGAGTCAGCTTGCATTCCTTTCCTATTCACGCAGTGAAATTTTGCTTCACCACTAAAGCTAGGAACTCAGATATCAGGTCAAGAAGGCGGCAGGGCTGACCTTCCTAGTCCCATCATAGTCGCAGTTCTTCAGCTATCAAGTGAAGGGACCTGACGACAGGGTCCTTCGACTCCTTTCAGCACCTTCTGCGGTCTATGGCTTAGTCTTGTACTTTCCTGTGAAGATACAGTAATACTGATGAAACCCTAGCCTTGCCCCAGACACTGGGTGCATAGCATCTCACGTTATCTTCCTTGCATCCGCCTGTCGTAGATGTTGTTTTGCTCATGATCTGGAGGAGAAAATTGGACTCTTCAAAGGTTCATTTTAACGCACATGCACCTGCACGCTCAAGAACATGCACAAACAGATACAGGGACAGGAAACGTTCACTTTAAATCACGCTGTGGTATTGGGGAAGTTGAGACAGGACGCTCTCCAGTTCAAGGCCAGCCTGGGATACACAGGGAAACTAAATTACCCGAAACCAATGAAACCTGCATGTTTTTTTTACCATTTCGGTATATAATTTTGTGGAGATTGGAGGGAGAGGGTTATGCATTTGTGTCCCTGACAAGGGGAGAACTAAATATAACATATGTTTTTTTAATTATTAACATTTGGGCTGAATAATTAGTGGAAAACTAGCTACAACTATTGATTGTTTAGCAACAATTTTGCCTTCTCTACACTAACTACTGTTGCCATCTTTCACCTCCTACTTGTTACTGTTGTTTTGTTTCTAGGAGTTGGAGAGATGGCTCATTAAGAGCACTAGGCTCTTCCAGAGAACTGGGGTTCAGTCTCCACATTTTGGCTCATCACCACCTGTAACTCCTCTGACCTCCATGGACACCAAGCACATACATGGCACACACACATACATACATACATGTGAGCCAAAACACTCATACATAGAAGATAAAAATAATCCTAAAAATAAATGTTTCTGTATATTGCCAAATGTTCCTAGAGGAGAAGAATTGCCCCACTTTGAAAAGCACCAATGTAGGGACTATGAGAATAGAAGCTAACATGATGGAGACAAGTGAACAATTAGATATCTAAATTAATATGAACATACTATTTACAATATTTACAATAACTGTGCACTAGGTGCAATGGAAACATGGAGAGGGGAAAGCGATCCAGTGGATCCAAGTCAGGAAAAACCTGGTAACAGCTATTTCCAGAAGACTCAAGCCAAGAAGGAGGCAAGGGCAGATGTGGGAGATGGAAGTCGGAAGTTACTTACCACAGGGAGCTGCTTGGACTTCATTCTTTGTAAAGAGAGTTATGTTGATAGCTTTGATAACATGAGGATGTTGGGGTAGAGGAACAAATATTTAATGTTTCACAGTATTTAACTGCCAGTTGACTTTTTTTAGAAATTTGATACTAACTTATTTTCCTCCAAACAATTCAGGAAAGGCTTTCAAACTTGCTTTCACCAAGCCATTTCTTGTTTTTGTTTGTTTATTTTTTTGTTGTTTATTTTTGAGACAGGGTTTCTCTGTGTAGCCTTGGATGTCCTGGATTTGTTCTGTAGATCAGGCTGTCCTTGAACTGGCATATATCTGCCTGTGTCTGCCTCCCTGAGTGCTGGGATTGCAGGCATGTGCCACTGAGTTTAGCTCACCAAGCTGTTTTTCTTGAAAGCACCTTTGAGATCTCAGTTGGGGAAAAGTTTTCTATTCAGACCTGGATTTCTTTGAATAAACAGGTTGGGTTTTTTTTGTTTTGTTTTGTTTTTTCCTACTTTGCCTCTCTGTGTCAATTTCTATTTTCATGGCTTTTCCCTTATTTGTTTGATATTTTTCTTCTTGCCCTCCCTCCAGATTTTGGTCAGTTCTTATATATGTGTATGATGTCACTTATATGCTTAGACAGGAATCTTTTTTCTTAAATTTGCTGTCAAGATATTGCTTTGTTGTTTGAATTTTGTTTTGGTTGTTTTATGCCTTTTCAGCTGTTCATGGTGGGTTTTGTCAAATGGAAGTTTCTCGTTTGAATATTCCACAAGCTATCAATGTTTTCTGTGGGTTTGCTTTAAGGTTGGGTTTAAAGGAGACCTTTATCTCCTCCAAGATTTCATAAATATAAAAGGAGCTTTTCATCCAGCACTTTCAGCCATAAGAAGCAAATCCATCAATTCTTTAAGTCTCTGTACTTTAGATATATGTTGTGGACGGAGTGTATGTTTTGTTTTATGTTTGAGGTCAAGTCTCACTATGTAGCCTTGGCTGGAACTCACAATGCAGACCGGGCTAATTTTGAGTTCGTAGAGGTCTGCCTGCTTCTGCTTTCTGAGTGGTGGGTTTAAAAGTATGCACCTATTTACCTGACCTGAGTGGACAAAGCATATTTTTTGAGAGGTCATAGGTATTTTCTGTTTGTTTGTTTGTTTGTTTGGTAACATCTAGCAAATGGTTTGGTTGCAGGATCAGGATTAGAGATGAAGGCATAGGAGAAGACACACAGTAATTCTGTTGGGAGGACGCAGGTTGCTGATGAGTTGCTCTGGGAGCTGCTCCTCCTCCTTCTTCTCCTCCTCCTTCTCTTCTCCTCCTCCTCCTTCTCTTCCTTCTTCTTCTCCTCCTCCTCCTCATTCTCCTTCTCCTTTTTCTGTGTAACAGCCTTGGCTGTCCTGACTCACTCTGTAGACCAGGCTGGCCTCGAACTCACGGAGATCCACCTGTCTCTGCCTGCCTGAGTACTAGGATTACAGGTGTGCGCCACCACATCTGGCTCTCTGGGAGCTTATTTTGGAAGATTGCTCCACTGTGCTGAGTGCTCCGGAGCCAGTCTGCCCTTCTCCGCCTTGCTCTACCCTCCAGTAGGCTGCATTCAGATAGACCTTCTTCTCTGGCTTCTGACTTGGACTTGTTCCACAGTGAAATCATCTGTATGGAAGGCAGACAAAAGAGAGCCCACTTCCTGCTTGGCAACAATTACATTCCTTTCTAGAAAGCAACTGCTCCTGTCAGCTGCTCTGTGATCCTCCATCTCTGCCTCCTTGCAATGAATGGTTATTTTGTCTTTTCAACTGTTCAGAGTGGGAATTGTCCAAAGGAAGTTTCTCATTTGAAGGTATCAATAATCAATAACAAGCTATCAATCATCATGTTTACTTGACGACCATTTAAGAGAAACCTCTAGGCATGGCTGTGAGGTTGCTTCCGGAGAGGCGTAAGTATGTGAAGAAGAAAGGATTCATCCTGAGTGTGCGCAGCAGCATCCAATGGACTGCAGGTATGGATGAACAGAAAGACAAGAAAGGAGGAAGTGAGCTGAGCACCAGCTTTCACCCCTCTCTGCTTCCCAACTGCAGATGCAATGTCAGAAGCACCTTACACTCCTACTGCCTGTCCCCTCTGCTAGGATGGGCGGAACCCTTAAGCTCTTTCTTAAGTTGCATTTTTTTTTGTCACTCCAACAAGAAAAGTGACTTATTACTTGCTTATTCCTTATTACTTGCTACACCACAGCCTCCCCTTGAAATTCTGCCACAGATGCTCTTCCTCGACTCCAGCCTTCTCCCTGGTCTTAATCCCCTTCAGTCTTTGTACCGTCCTCAGTAGCCTGACTGTGTGTGCTTTCTTTCCTGTCAGGACCTGAACTCTCCCCAAGGGCAGCTACATTGCCCCATGGGAGCAGCCAATGCTGCCACTTGGAACTGGTTTGAAATATGTCCCTGGAGAGACCCCGAAAGCTTGCTACTCTGAGGCTGCTGAACTCATGCCCCAGAATCAACCCCTGGGAGACCACACAAGCTCCCCCTGAAGGAAACGGCCATTCAAATTCTGCGTCCAACCACCCTCACCTCTGCCTCTGCCCATAATAGATCTGCTTCTAATCATAGACTGTACCATCTAACGAGGTAGCGCTTCCACTAAAGATATGTCTGCCACATGATGGAAAACAGAAGGTTGGGCCATCTTGACATACAGCTGTGCTGTCTCTCTAGACAAGCTCTTTCCTCCTGGATAACTCTCTCATCCTGAACATGCCACAGAATTCTGCCTGACCACCCTTCCTCCTGTTTCCCTCCTGACATGTTGCTCTCTGTTGATCCGGTCAACCTTCGTGATTAAAACTACATGCTACTTATCCAGAGAAGCTGTTTTTGATCCCCAGTTCCCATGCTGTTTCTGTTGTCTTTGAGTTTTCTTCTTTTTAAAGACATTCATTGCCTCAGTCACTTGTTGCTTAACAAAACTGAATGTTACTTAACTCACACACACTGTGTGCCTTTCATGCTCACCTTTTTTCTTTAAAAACA